CAATTTGATTAAATCATGACTAGTAGGTAGGTACTATGTGCAGATAAAATATAGATTTGATTTTTAGTCGAATTTAATTAGTCAATTTGATTAAATCATGACTAGTAGGTAGGTACTATGTGCAGATAAAATATAGATTTGATTTTTAGTCGAATTTATTTAGTCAATTTGATTAAATCATGACTACGCTGTGAGTATAATTAATTGTTGATACGATATTATTTTTCTGTCAAAAACGTCAGTCGTAAACGTTTCTCTCAAACCGTTTATTTCTGTCGCAAACAGAAACTCAGACGATCCTCATGTGTTACCGTAGCCCGTGGACATCAGCAGTGGAAGGGATACAGCCAATTCTTATCACACCGCACTTTCTTTACATTTCGCTTTACGAGAGATAAAGGAAACCACGCCGGTCATCGTTCTCGTCGAACGCGTCGCTTGCGATAAAGGGCTCGACAAATAAATTATCCCTCAGACACAGCCCACTGAGTTTCTCGCCGGATCTTCTCAGTGAGTCGCGTTTCCGATCAGGCGGTAGATTCTGCGAAGCACGGCTCTTGCTAGGGTTTGTGTTAGCAACGTCGTCAGATTTGAGCCTCGTGAGCTCACCTACTAGTTAAGGTTCCGCTGATATAGCCTCTCAAGGCTATCAGCTTAGAAAGGAAAAAAAAGAACCACGGCGCTAAGTTAATTCCAGAGTTGAATGCATTGAGGAGAAATTAACCCCTGAAACGCATTATACTGGCTGATAAATATTCATTTCTGGCATCGAATTAAAACAGTTCAAATAAAATACTTTAATAAGATAATAATTTGGTTAAAATATTCTTGTGAATGAAATAAAATAAATAACATCCTCGGTGAGTAAAAATTAATGAACAATATAATTTTGCAGACGAAAAACGCTTGACGTAAAAGCTGAAATAAAAAAAAAAATGAATATCGCCATGCAGAAAAGGTATCGTTTGCATAAAAAATAATTAAATTTTTGACATATCATAAAATTCGATGTTATCTTCGAGCCCGCTGCGTTTTCTCGCTGACTGTACACGCACTGGCCCGTTAATCGAGGCGCCTCATATATCATCTTAATTAAATATCTCCAAGAGGCTTTTTTTCGACACGACTACGCCCTGACGATTGATCGAGCAAGGGAAGCCCGAAATATCACAGAATTCATTTTTGGTTCAATTATTTATTGTGTCTCTGAAGGCAATGAACGAGCCGGTCCTATTGCCGGTTTTTTTTATTGCTTAGATGGGTGGACGAGCTCACAGCCCACCTGGTGTTAAGTGGTTACTGGAGCCCATAGACATTTACAACGTAAATGCGCTTTGAGATGTAAGTTCGAAGGTCTCAGAATAGTTACAACGGCTGCCCCACCCTTCAAGCCGAAACGCATTACTGTTTCGAGGCAGAAATAGGCGGGGTGGTGGCGCCCACCCGCGCGGACTCACACGAGCTCCTACCACCAGTAAATATTAGCCTATCCATTAAGCACATGTATTTTCTACATGGATACCAAGTTTCAAGTCAATCGGATGCACGGTTCAGTAGTTATAACGGAACATCCGTAAAAACCACTGTAGATTTACATATTAGTATAGATGTAGTAGTAGTAGTACATCAGAACATCTATCCGAAAAACCTATCATCATCTCATTGCTAACATGTTTTTTTTTTGTTGTTTTTCAAACGACCCATTTTCGTAAATAATCACATGTAAAGTGAAACTAAAAAGAATATTTAATAATAGCGTTTACTAAACGATTCAATTGGTCATGCCGTGGATTTGCTTTATGTAACAACACCCTTCTGTGACACAGTTGAATTTGAGGTAGTAATGACGGGATATTTTATTTTATTGCACCGTTTTTAATTTATGATTTTTATTGTTGTTTTGAATATAGTTGAGGTGAGCGAAAGAGAAAAGAGAAGTCTCAGCTCTCTTGAAGTTCGACTGTTCCAGCCTTCAACCCAAAACACTTTACTGCTTTGCAGCAAAAACAGGCGGGCCGGTGTTACCTATCCAGGTGGGTATAATACGCGCTGTCACTATTTGATTTGATTAATCATTCCACGATGTTATTCCTCAATCATGAACGTTATTAAATACGAGTTAAGTTCTAATTTCCTACAAAAAGTTTGTAGCTATCTGAGAATTTCAAACACCGGCATATCACGCGACAACTGCGCTACTTACTGATTTATAATTACAGTAAAAATGTGAGTATTTATAAATATCATTATCAAATCTATATATATTTACTAATATATTTACTAACAATCACGCCACGTTAACAGGTCCCGTGGTAAGTTCGTAAAGAACTTGTGTTACAGGTACCAGATAACGGAAATAAATGTAAGATTTTTATTATACACATACATATATTTAATAGACATCCATAACCCTGGAAAAGACATTTATATTTATCATACAAATATCTTCCCTTGGCGGGATTCGAACCCGCGACCCCCTTGAGTAGTGACTATGTCACTTACCACTACACCAGACGGCCGTCATATATATGTATATAAAAATGAATTGCTGTTCGTTAGTCTCGCTAAAACTCGACAACGGCTGGACCGATTTGACTGGTTTTGGTCTTGAATTACTTGTTGAAGTCCAGAGAAAGTTTAAAAAGTAGATAAATATGAAAATGCTCGGAATTAAATAAAAATAACAATTTTGTTTTTCGTTTGATGTGTCCCCCGTCGGATGGATTCTTTTGTTTGTTTTAAGTTTATTTTATACAAAAATTTAGGTCTTTTATTTATCGATTGAGGCACTACGAAGTCTGCCGGGTTAGCTAGTAGATTATTACAATTCATTAATAAAAAAAACGACATAAATTTAACTAACTGTTTCAATAAAACTGTGTCGTGTAATCTATACAAAGCTATCATGCAGAGATGTTATCAACAAACTATTACACTATACGCCTGTCCACCCCCCTGAAGTACAGATTGAAGATAAAACGTGTACAGGGGTGCCACGAAATATGTTATTTATAAAATTATTATAATACAAAAGCGTCAATGTCAGTAATTAGTGAATATGGCATGATGTCTAGTTTTGTTATTGGTGTATGTTAATTGAGTTACACAGGAGTGACCCAATTGACGTGTAAAACAAAAATCACAAGTCGACTTTTTTGTTGCCTTGATGCGGGGCAGAAATGGTCTTGGAAAACGCATTATGGATTAACATCACTACTGTTTTTCTAGGTAATAGGGATGATCTACAGGGTGTGGTATCTCAAACGATTCTCCAAATTCCACCCTATGGAACACATACAGAATAGATCGAACTAGAATCTATATTTCAGATACGAAGTGGTCTAATTTTTTATTTTATTTTTATTGCTTAGATGGGTGGACGAGCTCATATCACACTTGGTGTTAAGCGGTTACTGGAGCCCATACACATCCACAACGTAAATGCGCCACCCACCTGGAGATATAAGTTCTAAGGTCTCAGTATAGTTACAACGGCTAGCCCACCCTTCAAACCGAAATAATTTTNAATCACAAGTCGACTTTTTTGTTGCCTTGATGCGGGGCAGAAATGGTCTTGGAAAACGCATTATGGATTAACATCACTACTGTTTTTCTAGGTAATAGGGATGATCTACAGGGTGTGGTATCTCAAACGATTCTCCAAATTCCACCCTATGGAACACATACAGAATAGATCGAACTAGAATCTATATTTCAGATACGAAGTGGTCTAATTTTTTATTTTATTTTTATTGCTTAGATGGGTGGACGAGCTCATATCACACTTGGTGTTAAGCGGTTACTGGAGCCCATACACATCCACAACGTAAATGCGCCACCCACCTGGAGATATAAGTTCTAAGGTCTCAGTATAGTTACAACGGCTAGCCCACCCTTCAAACCGAAATAATTTTGTGGGTTTGATTTTTATTACACGATGTTATTCCTTCACCGTGGAAGTCAATCGTGAACATTTTTGAGTACTTATTATATTTCATTAGAAAAATTCGTACCCGCCTGAGATTCGAACATCGGTGCATCGCTCAACACGAATGCACCGGACGTCTTATCCTTTAGGCCACGACGACTTCAAAAGTGATTGGTATAAACCAGCCATGCTGTATGGAGAGTCAAATGGTAATAATCGCATTTAAAACTAAGTTATTCGCATAATGTAGTGTTGAGAATCGCGTATCATATTTGAATTTGCGACAACAGTGATATTGATTTTGTAGATTTTTCGCATCTAATGGTAGGCAGTGGCTTGGCTCTTTCTGAAGTCCATGGGCGAGGTAACCACTCACCATCAGGTGGGCCGTATGCTCGTCTGCCTATAAGGGCAATAAATAAAAAATCTATAATATATAATAGTTATGCTATTCTTCAACCAACAAACAAAAATGTCCCGCAAATAATATTATTGATACAATCTGCTCTGCGCGAATTATACGAAGTATTAGTGTATGATGAAATAACAAACCTTACAAACACTTTCGTATTTATAATCAATATTGTTACTATTTTAATTGAGTTTCCATTTGAATTTGGAACGTGAATATAGAAGTTATTTGTCAGTAATTTATTTTTTAAATATATGTATTTCTAAAACAAACCTCTACTTTTGCAATGTTTATGAAATGTATTTTGATGTTGTTTTTTTTGTGAGTAGGTCCTTTAATTATCATAATCCGGGTAGCATTACAACCGGGTTTTAGACTTTCTTTTTTTCTGGGTTGTACGTCTTCACCGGGTCATCACATTTACATCTCCACCGACATATTTAGGAAACTTAGTTAAATTCGTTTAATTGATACATGTCTTTTTATTAGTGTCAAACAACGACCAAGAGATGTATCAAATGATGATAAGTATCAGCAGTAAAATATCTTCGAATCCAGAGATGATTACCTTATTTACAATTCAGAAAGAGGATCTCAAGAGATTACTGAACACCGACCCTGATTTGTTGTTACATATGAATACATTTGACTGGAACTTACCTAGCATACCGCGAATGGTGGGAATCGAGGTCCGCCTTCGAGGGGGGAGGGGGCACCAGCGCAGGTCCTAGACCCAAACCGAGACCCCCGCCCAGCGTCGGAGAAAACCGGTATAATTCACTATAACAATTAAACAAATACATTATGGACGATATTCGCATAAAAAAGGGTCCAATCATATCTAGGGATGAAAGGCAATTTTGTTTAAGCGACATTTCTATCGACATATCTAAGCAATAAAAAATAATAATAATAGTAATAATAGTTCGTAAGTTTTTAGAAACAGAAGAAAACTCAACTAACGTACATTAAAAATATTTATTCCTTATTATTTACTTGGCTAAGGCCCGAAATTAATAAATACGTACCAGCGTCTGCTGAGAAAAAAAATTAAAGAACAATAATAATAATAATAATAATAATATGCAACATTTCTCTTTTTCTTTCTTCCTCTTCTTTGCTTCCACCTTATCCCACTAGGTGGGGTAGGTACCGAAAAATTTTCTTTTCCATTCTCTTCTATCAGCTGTCATCTTAACACTCACTCCTCTTTCTCTCATATCGTCATTGACACACACACACTCCATCCATATCTACTTCGATCGACCTCTTCTCCCTTTATCATTTGTCTGTTGTTGACATTTATCCTTGTAATTAAATGTGCGTTTTATTTGGTATCAGCATCAACAGTTTGATGTTTTTAATTTTACTACAATTAAATGTACTTCATTCAAACACCTGAAGAAGTTGTTTTTGTTGTAATTTTTTTTCCAAGTTTTAAGCTTTATATGGCTCTCCTGTGAGGTTGCGAAAATGTCGCTTAAGCCAAATAGTCTTTCAGCCCTCCTCGATATGAACGATTAAAATATTCTTTAGTGTTTAAATTTGATACGTAATCTGTTTTTCCTAATTACTATCTCACCGCAGCAAACATCTCACCAAACCATCATCGGATATAGAAGGATCTATAAACACAAGTCAAATTAACACGTGGTATAACATAGTAAACTAACCTTGATAGACTAGAACTAGAAATAGGCAATGACGTGGGGTATGGACTCCTGAAGCCACTCGCCGCCGACGATATAGGATACATGCTCGGAGTATGCCTGTCGAAATGATGACCGTATGTCAACCTTAAATGCAATGTTTAAAGCATCATTTTGAATACACAATTAAAATTATTGGCTACAGCCCGACCGGAATTACTCAGTATCCGCCAGTTTGGTTACGAGATTTCGTATTGGCTATGTTCTCTGATCATATAGCTCGTATATCTCTCGACCTATCTATCAGTTCGAAAAAAAGCAAGTCTAAAATTCGATGCGATTAAGTGCAATACAAGAAAATGTTTCATTAATCATTTCTAAAGAGTAACACAAGTCGCGAAAATTGTATTAATACATTTTAGTGCACCTTATTTTTGTTTTTCATAAAAAACATTTATTTTCCATATAGTAATATCATAAATTATGTTGATAGAGAAATCTGTCAACAAATTCTCAAATTTTTTTTTTTAGTGTGCTATGTGTTGATTTTAAGACCATTCGCTGGCGAGGACAGAGTAATCCGGTCACACTGAAACAGGGTTTTTTTTTATTAGTTCCAAGTGACTTGAGCGTTTGATTATAGCGTAACATTCGCAACGAACACATTTCCACATTTGAAATCGAATAAAATCTGCATGATCGAATTCGTCTGTATGTTACATTACGTTTAAATGTGACAAGTCAATCGGCAACTTAGACGATACGCTTCCCTGTCACTATGACAAGTCAGTCTTCAAACGAGAGTCGCTTAGAACACAACGCCTTCTTGTCTTTTGAGATGAGAGACGGTAACTATTTACGTTAACATATTAAGAGCAACGCAATCTCAGCTGTCTTCGACACAAAAATATACACTTAATTCAAGTCTAATCGTTACTGCAAATGTGCTGTCAAAGTCAATGACAATATACATTTAGGTCGTATCAAAATAGCCAAGTTTTGCCAAGCTAAAGCAAGAGACTGGAATTACTGTAGCGATAATCACTTTTATATTCTTTATCGTGTGTATTTTTTTATCTCTCTCGTCCAAGTCTGAGACCGAACTGCGATGCAGTGTTCCGAATTATTATTTAAATCTTAACTAGTAAATGGTAATTTAATTAATTGCGGTAGGCAGCGGCTTGGCTCTGCCCCTGGCATTGCTGAAGTCCATGGGCGACGGTAACCACTCACCATCAGGTGGGCCATATGCTCGTCTGCCTACAAGGGCAATAAAAAAAATTTAGTACTTAATTTTAAATTTTCATTTTTGGATAATATAATTAATCGATAATTCATCGATATCCAAACGAATCGCGCGATCAATTGCTTAGTTACGTTGCACGAATGTTTCAAGGAAACCTTAAAAATACCAGGGATATATCGAAAATCTCTATCATTGAGAATTGCCCTTAAATAAAAGTTCTTATATTGTATAGAAAATATTTAAAAAAAATGTACAATTTAAAACGATAACAAATATGCACTGAACCTACATTAAAGCTAGTGTTCAAGTAATTTCGTTACAAATTTTCAAATACCTAACTCAAAGTTTTACTAAATGAAAGTTTAGGTTACAAACTTACCAGGAAGCCGCAACTTGCGACATCTCCGGACTGAGCATAGGGTAAGGGTACGTACCCCCCGGAAAGGGGTACATGGGTGTTCGCGCTAGCCCAGCCGCTGTAATACACGAGAAATACCAACAAACATTATACAGTTATCAAACATATTTTCTTTAAAAACTAAGAACTTGAACATACCCCGGGGCATAAAAAAACTTCTTGGAATATTCAGCGGATATTCTACACACTGCTTGCAAATCAATACAGAACTTTGACTTTACTGGTGGTAGGACCTCTTGTGAGTCCGCACGGGTAGGTACCACCACTCTGCCTGTTTCTGCCGTGAAGCAGTAATGCGTTTCGGTTTGAAGGGTGGGGCAGCCGTTGTAACTATACTGAGAACTTAGAGCTTATATCTCAAGGTGGGTGGCGCATTTACGTTGTAGATGTCTATGGGCTCCGGTAACCACTTAACACCAGGTGGGCTGTGAGCTGTAAACAATAAAAAAAATAAAACTTACCTAGTTTAGAATCTAGCTGGTAGGGTGGGGGTATGCCCATATGCGCGGGAGGGGGCTGCCCCAGATCTCCACCAGGGCAGAACAGCGATAGGCTACCGCCTGCTGGCAGCCCCATCTTTCCTGTCTGAAACAATTAGAAACACTTTAAAAATAAAGTAGGTACATTAGAACTATATACATATATCTGAAAGCCAAAAATACGGTTATTGTTTTACTAGTATGCTTACTGCTTTAGATATTTATAACAATAATTATAATAACTGGGAACAAATCACGCACGGTCATCCGCCCTTAAATTGGGATTCCCTGTCTTATCTATACCAAAGACTGACACACATACTGATATACGTTTAAAACTTAATAAATGCCCAGACAAAGAGAAACAAATCAGTTCATCACAATAATGTTTACCAGATGTGGGAATCGAACCCACGACCCTCGGCGCTGACTACTGCACCTACCAAGTCAGTCAACAGATAAACAAAGACGTTTGATATTAAATAGTATCATATCACGATAACGGGTCACGCCCGGTCAAACTTGACCAGTTAACACAAGAATCCAGTTGGAATGAGCAACATTAGATACTCTGAAGTTGGTCATTTGCAGGTTCCTTAATGTATCACGACGCCTGAGGAACAAGGTACGGTGATTTACAAACTATGCATCAAATAAGAGTCTTAATAGAAGCATGGAGAGAACCAAGATTGATGTTAAACATATATCAATGATAATCCGACGTCGGAGGCATGATTTTGAAACCTTTTTAATAAACTCCAATATAATTAATGTTGTCAACAAATCAGACAAAACATTAAACGACCAATGGGCTGAATACCAACTAAGAGAAGCATCAAGCAGCTCGACCAGTCCAAGTGGTCCCTTAATAAGGTTGGCTCAACGTCGACATGATTGGAAGTTATCAGTTACCTCGAGCTGTTATAACTACTACCCTATCCACAAGTCTTAGCTGTAACATTGTTTAAATATTCATCAGCTCTTACACTAATTCCTAACGTTGCTAAGTCGGACGTAAGACTCCGAAGAATCGGTATAAATAAGTGTGTTGTGGCCAATGCGACAAAAACAAAATTATTAGAACACGTTATGACAAAATTATACAATACAAGAACACTTATTGTGGAATAACTATAATAGTTAGACATATGCTGTCGCGACACTTTTTGTAAATAATAATGTGTTCTATAAAGTCATAGTACATTATTTTATTCTATCATCAATAGTTTTCGCAGCGCACGCGATTTTACACCTTGGGTTACATTATTGGAGTTTAGTAAGGATACCTTTTTAAAAAAAAAAAAGAATATAGCCTATGTCACTCGGGGATAGTGTAGCTTCCAAACAGTGGAAGAATTTTTCAAATCGGTTCAGTTGTTTCGGAGCCTATTCAATACAAACAAATCTAATAATCTAAATAAATCTAAAAATCTAAAGACAACATTTTAAGATCTAATACAATTGGGCACTTGCAAATATACTTCCTATTTCACGCAACCAGTCCCAAAAAGGAATAGCTGAGTCTAATTTTATTGAAAAAAAAAAAGAAAACTTTCCCAAACAAGATTCTCAACTAACAGCCCTCGCATAAAGAGCTGCTAACAAAAAAGCGACAATCTCTCTGTATGGGTAGTCGCATCATTAGCAAGTAAATTGGCGACGGCACAGTATAAATTTCGTTCTACCCTCGGCGGCCCAATTATGCAAAATGGCGCCCGACGAGCACCATTCAGCGCAGCACTTCCGACCTGAGTGTCTCACCTCTAATTAAAACGGAGAATTTCTTTTCAACACTTTATTATGTGATATAAACGTTAGGATTCGATGACGCGACGCTTGTTTAAAAATTATATCTCAAGGTTTCTAGTGGCGATGAACAAATTGTTTTTTTTATATTTAAAAGCGACTTCACGACGGTCGCAAGTAATCAACATAAGTATTGGCAGCGATCGAACTGGTAATAAAAAACCTGCCAGTCATTCCCCCGGTACATGTTGACTTTTGAACTAAATCTTACAACAGAATACGTGAGGCAAAAGAAACCTGTTCTAAAATCCAACGTCATTTCGAACCGTTTAAAAGTAAAAGGGCTGACAATCCCTTCAACGCTCGTCCGTATTCGAGCAGGAACTGCTTATTAAGACAATAATTACCACGAACAAAGAAGCCCCACTAATTAATAATAAAACACGAACAAACAATGCCCCTCCATTCACGCTCCGGACAGCTCGGGAAAAAGGTTTAAAAAAATATAACCGAAACGGTGGTCGAAAAACCTCGACATGCGAGGACGAACAAAAAGAAACCATAGACAATGATGACAGTCGAGACGCATAATGCGGGAGCGAGTTCTTAATTTGAAAATATTTCCATAATAAGATTTGTCTATGGCGCGACCGGTAGAAACAAAAGACGTCGAGCCCTCTTTGTTCCACTGACAGGACGTAATCATTCAAAAATTTAATCACGCAATTAGTGATTAAAATTTGAAAAGCGAATGAAAGAGTTCAACTGTTATTAGCTAAACAAATTCTCTCGTTAAAATGTGTTTTTTTATTCTTACTTTTTGTTCTGAATTCGACTACATTGCCTTTTCAGGTTTATGTATACATCGAAGTCCCTAATGAAGGCCAGGTGGAGTGGTACGCTGTTGAAGAAATCGCTGAGAGGGTAGTTATTGAGGCCGGTTGAAAATGCCGCGTGACGTCGTGGCCACTCGAGCGAGTTCCAGTCGCTAATTGGAGCTCGTGGCGACAGGACGCGAGAAATGTTGCCTCAATCGACTGATACTTCAGAGCTGAATTGGTTTGTTAACGAGCGAAATGTTGCGAACGTTCGAGTGGCTTTGGTACCGCAATACAGGTTTTAGAGTTAGATTTTGAGAATCGATTTTTCGGAATTTTAAAATTGAATCTAATCTAAAATCTTAACCTTCAGACACACTGAGTTTCACGCCGGATGTTCTAAGTGGGTCGCGTTTTCGATCCGGTGATAGATTCTGCGAAGCACCACTCTTGCTAGGGCCAGTATTAGCACCACTCCGGTTGGAGCCCCGTGAGCTCATCTACACGTTAGGGCGAATCTGACATAGCCTCTCAAGGCCATCAGCATAGGTAGGAACAAACTAAGTTCGAGTGACTTTGGTCCCGCAATGTTCTTATACAGGTTTTAGAGTTAGATTTTGAGGATCGATTTCTCCGAATTTTAAAATGGAATCGTTAAATTCTAGAGGAACGCCGACGCGACGCACACAAGCGCGCATTACCTACACCCCTTTGGTTCGCCAATGCGAACGAAGTAGGGCGTCATATCTTGAGAGGTCGCCCCCGGGGTAGTGGGCGTGGAAGTAGGATGCTGCGTTGTCATGGTAACCATGTGTAGGGGTGCTCGTACACGTGTCCCGAGCTAGTGTGAGTGACTGGGCGCGCCGTACTGGTGTGGGTGGGTGGATTTCAGAAAGCGACCTTGGAAATTTTGGTCTAGTTTTAGACTTAGTTGCGAATTCGAGTTTAAAATAAACACAAAGTACTTCGTTTGAATTCGTTTTATAAAAGTTTTTAGTTTTTGCATCTTTTTAGTTTGCTTTTGAATTAATTGGTTCACAATACTTAATTTTAACAGTCAACAAACTTATTCATGTTTGTGTTGTATTCAAAGAGTTATATATCAATTAAACAATGCACAGACTCATCTATTTCTGAGCCTGTCACTCAGTTGGCAACTAACTGAAGTTGCGTGATTAGTGGCACTTGGAAGGAAAGTTAGCTTGTATATCTATTCAGTCTTATTACATAAGGTCGTGTTTAGATTGCCTATGCTTATCTTAGCAACTAAATATTTGAAAATTATATGATATTATTGATATGAAAATTAATATACTTTTTTTATTGCTTAGATTTGTGGACGAGCTCACGGCTCACCTAGTGTTAATCGGTTACCGGAGTCCATAGACATCTACAACGTAAGTGCCGCCACCTACCTTGAGATATAAGTTCTAAGGTCTCAGAATAGTTACACCGTAAAATGAATAAAATATTCGTGTCTGAGTTTTTTTTTTCGTTTCATTCCTCCATATTCGATCCGGAACTGGAAACTGCAAGCCCGGTAGCCGGAACCGGAAACCATTGATGAGACGAAGGCGTCTAGGGTATAATCGTTATCTCCGGCCCGTTACAAATTTAAGATGATTTTTGTTCTTATTATGTTTTAATATTTAATTAAACAAATTTCTTGTAAGATTTAAGAATAAAGGTAATAATTACTTTGTGTTAGGTTTACTTCTTAAAAATAAGTCCCCAACAAAAAACATATCTTATCTTATCTTATACCTTATATAATCTGATTCTCGGAAACGGCTCCAACGATTTTCATAAAATTTAGTATACAGAGGATTTCGGGGGCGATCAATCGATCTAGCTACGATTTATTTTCAGAAAATTTTGTTTTATTCGTGTTTTCAATAATCAACTCTTCCCGACATCTATTGGCGAATAATAATACTATTTTCCTAATTGAGGGCAACTAACCGCTTTAAAGACACAACAAGATGGCGTTATCAAAAAAAGTGTATATGTATCTATCAATAGAAAAAACAAAAGCAATATAAATAACATATAATATATCCCTAGTCTTTTCAAATATATTCTATAAAACTCTTTACGAAAATTCTCAGCATTTCAATTTCAATGTATCGATGCGAAAAGTCCGTTTCAAGAAAATCTAATCGTTCAATTCTGTAGGGGGAGGTATTCGAATCTGCTATAGGGGAACAGGGGAGGCTGGTTCGATGACCTCTCTCGATGTTATGCAGATGTATGTATGTGTGTACAATGATACACGAAACTTTGAAGAGACTTACATTGTTTATATTAATTTGTATTTAAACTCACACAATAACGTATAACCATTCTGTCCATTACTTTTTTTTATTGCTTAGATGGGTGGACGGGCTCACAGCCCACCTGGTGTTAAGTGGTTACTGGGACCCAAACACGTCTAATAATAATTAATAAATAAATAAACATAAATAAATAAATATTTACTAACAATCAACCCACGTTAACTGGTCCCGTGCTAAGTTCGTAAAGAACTTGTGTTACAGGTACC